TTGTTATATCATTAGTTGTACTTGTGGCTTGTATTTAAATGGCTTTTCCCCCACTCATGACTGGGGTTTTTTATGCCGGCTAAATATAACGCATTCATGCATTTTCTCTTTTTTCGTTAAATAAATTACAATCATTAGTTAAACTAAATCTCAGCGTATCTATTATAAATTGCACATGCCTTCTCATCCTGATCTGAATTCCCTTTTGTTTGTTATTTATGAGACTTTTAATTAACATCTCATTTATTAGCATTGATAATAAACATAGATTCATGCGCTCACTTTGCAAGGCTAGAAGTGAATGCTAGCCTGTGCAATAGTGGGCGTATTTATACACAGATTTTTCCGCCTATTTTCGCAGGAGCGTTTTCTTCGAGAATTTTTCGATTATTCGAGAAACATTCGCGAATTTTGAGAAATGAGTTTTCTTAATTTACAAGTAAATAAACATTAATAATGGGCTTTCAACACATGTGAACTTTACAGAATTCGTTATTTGTTGATTTATTGTAATTTACAATTATCGCAAATAGTGTTGTCAAAAGTTATTCACTAATAAAGTTAATTAATGTAATATTACAATATTTACAATAGAAAATTATTAAATTTTTACATAACTTTATAGTTTATTAATTCTAGAAGTATTTTCTAAAAAGAAATATCCAAATTAGTTAATAACATTTAAATTATAACAAATTTTTATATTTGTAACGGTTTTTTCTATAATTTTATAACGCCATTATTAGATTAATTATCTAAGATTTATAAATTATAAAGCTGTCATTCTTAAGTATAAAATTAACACTTTCGTTCTATATACAACTTATTGTTTAAATAAATTATTAATTGTTTATTTATTAATAACAGTTATTATTAAGCTGTTATTAATGAAACCAAATCTTACTCATGTTCTATGATTATTCATTTTGCATATGGACTATTTACATTTTGCTAATAATTCATATTTTTAGTGTAATAAATAAATTAACTTTGCATATTAAAATTCCTTATTATTTAATAATTAAACGCAATTCGTATTACTATATTCTAAATCTACGTACTAAAATCTATATAAGAAATACCTTGTTATATCAAAATTACATCTAATTAACATATTTTTCTCAAATAACAAAAATCATTATATCTATATCTATTACTTTGTGACGTCACGCTCATTATTTTAGTTATGAAATTAGACTATTGTACTAATACAATCGAATAATCGGTGAGGTGGCGCCTTTTAATGTGCTGATTTGAGTAAACAGATACATGCGTTTGACGGGTTGCAGTAATTCAGTAACATAATCACCTAGCTCATAGATAGGACCGTTATAACTAATAACAAACACGACAATGAAAATGCAGCACATAATTTGAGTAACGATTCGGAAAACCAAGTAGATAATTTTAAGACTGATATGGATAATTGCACTACAGCTGAAAGTAATATTGATATGGATGATTGCTCTACAACTAGCAATAATTCTTTAGATTCAAATCTCAGTGATGAGTTGTATTATAATAATTATAGTTACAATGATGATAATTGTTTGTCTGAAATAGACTTCGAAACGAATACAGATATTATTTTGGATTGATTTGAAGATTTGAAATCTTTTTTAACTTTTTGGAATGTCAATTTTAATGTATCAGAAGCTGCTTTCTCTAGCCTTTTAAGAGGACTAAAAAAGTTTGGACATAATGATTTGTCAATTGATGCGAGAACAATTAAATCATCTGCTAAAAAATTAAATGTTTTTAATGTAGAAAAACTTTGGTCAGGGACGTATGCTCACTACGATTTAGAAAAAGCTCTTTTAAATCCTTTAAATTTTCTTGATATAAAATATTATAACGGCCGGGGTCGTTTTCGCGGAAAGTTGCCCGCGCGCGAAGCCGAGCACGGCCAAGCGGGCAAGCGAGCGCGAAGCGAAGCAGAGAGAGAGAGAGAGAGCGAGACTCGATGAGGCGCGTGCCGCAGCGGTAGAGTGGGGAGAGGAGACGATTTTCGGAGACTTGGACTGAGACCGGCGAGCTCGAGTGGTTGTCACGTGCGCGCGCGAACGAAAGAAAAAGAGAAACAAGAGGAAAATAAGAGTGAAAGTGCGCAAGGAAGTTGAAGATCATCCCCGAAGATCGCCGGGGCCTGCGGATCGTCATCTCGAGTGGGCGATTACCAAGGTCAGAACTTGCCCGCCCGAGCAAGGGCGGTAACGAGGGCGATTAGCGAGGAGTAGTCCGTCTGCAGCAGCTACTTCCCGGTGAGTTTCTCTCTGATTGTAAGCGACAACTTAGCGTGCGTAAGCTGCGCGAGCGAGCGTCTCTCTCTCTCTAAATTGGTACGCGAAGCGAAATCTCGGCATGCGGTATTGTATGAAAAGTTCGTTTAAGTAAATAAAGCCCGATTTAACCTGTTCAAGCATTGACATTGTGTTGGGCGTACCCAGGAAGGCACCTCTGTCCCTTCCCACGCCCGTGATTAAAACCCACGCACGCTCTCGTGCTTGGCCGCGCTTTCGCGATCCCTTTTCAGGGCAGCGCGTGTCCGCCCGTATTCGGCGGAACGCCAGGAAACGGCTAGCTGATCGGGGTGGCGGTGAGCCCCGCACCGACCAGTGAAAACAAAACTCTTAACGGGTCGCGAGAATAATTTGATTATTTTCCGGGCCGTTACAAGATATACCAATTAACATTGATTTAAATATACATATTGATGGACTATCGGTCGCTAAAAGTTCAAATAGCCAAGTGTGGCCTAGTTTGGGTAAAATGATTAATTCTAAAGTTGTTTGTGAACCTTTTTTGTGATAGGAGCGTACCATGGAATTGGAAAATCCCAAAATGCCAATACTTTTATGCAAAGTTTTATTGACGAATATTTAAATTTGCACTTTGAAGGGTTTATCTATAATAATAAATTGTATAAAGTTAATATAAATGCAGTTATAGCTGACACCGTTGCTAGAAATTTTATCATGTGCTTTCCAGCTCATAATAGTAGATGTGGAAAGTGTTTGCAAGAAGGTGAAACAGTGGATAGAAGAAGAATTTTTTTAGATAATTTTTCAGCTCCACGTACTGATCAAAATTTTAGAGAGAATGTAGCCGTAAAATTAAAAAATTGTATTTCACCTTTGGAGGGAGTTATTAATTTGCAGTTTCAGTATTTTCAGTAAGTTAATTTAATTTGTTACTATGTTTTTTAGATTATATCGTGAAGCTGCAGAGGACGAATTCTATACTAACGAAAAGTGAACAAAAGTCAGTCCATGAAAGGTCATTAATAATTTGGAAAATAGTACTCACTTAGCAATTAACAATTCAAATATTCATTCAAAAATTAGAAATTACGGTATCTTAAATGAAACTTTTTAATAATTGTTTGAAATCATTTCATTAATGTAATTATATGCTTTTGTGTCTTTTAGAAAATACGGATTGTTTTAAACTATAAGTTAATGTTACGAATATTATTATTATTAACAATGTATTATACTCCGGACGGGCAAGCTGAAGGTGCCGAGGAGATAATACGTGGCACTAAATAAGTTCGGAGTTAGGAATAGATGATTGCGTGTGACAAATGATAAGTCTTAATTAATGAAAATACACAAATATGACTTTAATGAGATTATTAAAGAAGGGGATACTCATCCGGCATAAAAACCCCAGTCGTAAGTGGGGGAAAAGCCATCGAGTTCCGAGCCAATAATTACAGAGCTTTTCCAGTTATTAGTTTCTATAAATAATGTGGAACTGAATCATAAAATAGAAAACTACAATACTAATACAAAAAAATAGAGAGAGAAATATTGGATGCGCTCACAATAAGTTACCTGAGGCTCGCTAAGCCTGTACAATTCGCACGGTTGAATGGCCATTCAAAGCAAGAACGTGTGTTCGCTTACCAGTCGACGCTAACATAGGTATAGGGAGGGAAGGTGCTACCACACATATACATACATCGACGCACCGCAGCCCCAATGTCTTGGGCACACAAAGCTGCGATACCACCTGGTTTGCCGACTGATGGGCAGGAAAGACCTGGTAGCACCCCGGAGACGTGAGAGCGTCCTCCACTGACGTAGTCAGTCCCCTTGAAATGCGTCACTGGGATCACGAGACACTGGCGAGTCAGTCGCACACAAACACTCTCACCCAGTTAAGCGCGCACAGTTTCTTTTGGCTCGGTGTCGCGGACACGCACCTGCCGTAGGTGAAAAGAACGCGTCTCATACAACCTTTCGAGATATACAGAATACACGATAGAGAGCAGAGAGTGTCGACCGTAACTGTCGGGTTTTTCAAGTAACTAACTCTTCGTCGTACCATTCGAAGACGCGAAAAAGAATAGGCGGAAAAAATTCTCCCTACTCTTGAGGCCCTCCGAGAAGGGCCTAATGACTACATTGGGACATGTGGTGCGCAGATGTGGGAAATGCGCGCTGCAATTGGCGACATGCAATAAACAACAGACGCGCGCGTATTCCCGTCTGTAAACATGACCGAACGCTGACGTCGATGATTTATTGCCCGTGCTTCGTTCCTTGTATTCTATTACCGGTCGCTTTCTCCCTTTTTTTTTTTTTGTCTCTTTTATTCTCGAAGCGCAAATGACGCGAACACGGATAAGACTATTTAATTAGCTGAAAATGTACAACCAGTTATTAATCCACATTTATTGTATATGCCAAGAGGTGATATATAATTGTTATCCTTTGTAAAAAATAACTATCTATACATTGAAGAAATAGAAAAGACTCCCAAAAAATAATTGAAAAAAATCAAAATTAATTGAATAATTATTTTTTCACGCGTTAGTCCAGATAATAACACTCATGTTGATGAAACTAATCTGCAGTCACCGTTGAACAGTGATGATAATATGAATGATGATGAGGAACTTTCCAAAGTTGATTATTCCAAAGATTATAGTTTTCATGAGAAAGAAGACTTTTTAGATGAGGAAAAGATTAATACTGATGATGGTGGTGATGATACAGAAATTGAAGCAATTGATAATACCATTTTTATTGAAGAAAATAACAATTTTATTAGAATAATTAAAAATAATGATAAATTAAGAGATTTATTAAATAAACGCGAGGAGCTGCATGATGATTATAAATGTTGTGGTAAATCAATTTCCTTGTAAATATATTAAAAGAAAATAATTATAATTATTAATTCACAATTATTAATAATTTGTTTATTAATTTTCTTGTTATTTAATAATTTTTCCTTTATCTTTTTAGCTCAATGCAGAAAAGATAGGCTATTACTTGAGAGAAAATGTAACGAATTGCTTATAGAAATAAGAGATATCAAATCTATACTACTAAATCAATATCGTGGTGGTTATGCTGTTCAACACGTGGAAGATATTCACTTTGATAATTTACCTTAGTTTGCATTCAATAATGTTCATAAATTCATTGCCTTTAGCGAGTCATTAAAAGAAGATTTTGTTAAAAAAGAATTTGTAAGTTGAAATGTAATTTGTATAAACGAGTATTTTTATAATATTTATAATTTCTTTTTATTTTTTTTCCAGGAAATCAAATTATCTTATTTAAAATGAAGTACGTTGCAAAATACAGTGAACTGTATTATGTCAACTTTAATCACCGATGAATTGGCTGATGTTTTGACTTGGAGTATTAAAAAAAAAAGCAAAGAGAAGATTTGCGACTGGTTGTTTATTAAAATAATTACCGGTAAGCATAATCAATGTAAAAGTTAAACAAAATTATAATAATTCCAAAAGTTAATGAATTAATTTTTGTTTTTTTCAGAATATTTACAAAAGATACCTGACGATAATACTTACAAAGATGTGGATAAAATAACTGTCTATATGAAAGAATGGATACGAAGATCTTCTAACCGTATTAATAATAAAAAGAAGAAACTGGAAAAATCTTATAATAATCCATCAGAGTTTGCGAATTTATAATTTAACTATATTGTTAGCTTTTTATTTTGTAGTTTATAAAATTGCTGCATTGTACGTATAATAGATGCGTAAAAAAGTATTATACATATATAAGAATTAGTGACTCAGTTTATATAGACTGATGTAATGATTAATATAAATCGTCTGTGTTATATATATATTGTGACGGTAAACGTCAAATTAGCGCTGATAACCTAATTTAATTGCTGTCTGGGAGGGCAGCACCTGCCGGGGGGACGAAATTGGTAGCGAAGGAATTCGGCACGCGAGCAGACGGAACGCGCGCGATTGAAACCGAACTAGTGAAGCTTCGACTATCATTGAGTCCGCCCGCTTTCGCTATCGCTATCGCCGATCCACGAGCCGTCAACATCAACACGCTAAAGCAGCAACAGCCAGTTATCCGTGATTGTAGCCGCCAAGGTGCCATCCAGCTACCAGTTCGAGGCCAGGACGAGAGTGTGTGTGTGAGGTTTCGCCATCGAGGGCGAAACCATAACGTGCGTGAACTCGCGACCCGCGAAATAAACAGTACAACTGTTCCGCTCTGTGCGATTTGTCTGTGTTTCCTTCGATCGCCTGCAACAATAAGGTAAGCTGGCCAGTTTAATTTCGCGATCGCGGATGCATGATTAATTATTAATTTCCGACATTCGAAGCGTGCATGCGACGGCTCCAATAACAAAGAGCAGCGAGCGTCCCGGCAATACGTGTTGTCGATGAGCGAGCGCCAATGTAAACAAACGCGCGGGCCGAACTTGTATAGTATTTGAGGAATAATAAAAGGTTTAGTTCGTATTGCTAACAAGTGTTTTTCAACTCACTTACACCTCATAGCTTCCACTCAATTTATTATAGGTTATTTACAATTACTGGTTGACTGACGCACGTTTCCACGTGCTCTCCGATTTATGTATTGAGCATAAATAATTACGCGCGTCCTTTTAGTATAATTGCGCGAATAAAATATAATTAAACGGTTTTACCCCGTTACAATATATATATAGAAAAACATGCTACTATTATACGTACAGTGCCGGTCAGCCACTTTTACCCCCCCACGGGCAAAATCAGTCTAACTTCAAAGTTTTATATCTCTGGTAGAAATTAACGTACAGAGACGCGCGTGGGTGCGTTTGAAAGGTCTTTCGGAGAGCTTTCAAATGATATGACTCACAGTTGCCATCGATTGTTTTTTTAAATTTTGCAACAATTATGCAAAATTGAAAATTCTGAAATTTTTTTATTATTTTTGACAATTAGCCAATTTTGGAAAAAAAATCGTACGAAAATTTGAAGTTCACCATTTTTTAGCTATTACCAAGCCCTATCTGAATCACTCATCAAAAATTTATTTTCGTCAAATATGACGCGCGCACAGGCATTTTTTCCTGGAAGTGACAGTTTTTTTCAACATTTTTTATCTCCGTCAAATTGTAACAATCGAAAAAAATTTATAGGAGAAAAAATGTTTGTTTTTTCACGTAGAATACTGCAATAATTTTTTTTTCGGTTTTTCGAAAAATTTTTTATTTCGGTTTAAATTATTTTTCAAGGTCGAAAAAAAAAAAGATTTTTTTTTGATGTAATTTACGATACTTGTTATGTAGTATTATTGAATGGGTGAAAAAAAATTTTTTTTTGTGGTTTCTCATCTTTTTAGCGTACCGACTGTGAGAAAAAAAAATTGTCACTTCCAGGAAAAAATGCCCGTGCGCGCGTCATATTTGACGATTTGTTGTTGTTCGGAGGACATTTTGTAAGAATACAAATTTTTGTTTATTAATCTTAAGCCAATAACTTTTAGTTGAGGGTCCATAAACGCGATATATATCGGTCTTTAGTATTTAAAAAATGCAAAAGCAAAAAAAAAATTATCTCCAAAAGATTCTATTCCAAAAACTGTTATTTCTTTTAATTTGAAATTTTCACAGGAACCTATTTAAGAGACTTCTAAATATCACCATTCAAACAAACGACCTTCAAAACATATGGTACAGTGGTTCGGAAATTTTTTTTCGATCGAATTCATTGAACAGTGAATCTCTGAACTGTAATGTCGAAAAGTATCCTTTCAGACGTTAATTGGTTGAACATTATGTAATAAAAGTAATTTCTATTGAAGGTATTGCTGATACAAAGGTCCTACCCCAGTTTCGCTATTCGGAATCCATAAAAAACGGTCTATATACGAGGTCTGTCCGGAAAGTATCGGGCCTACCTTTATATTTTCGTGCTAGCGTTATTCTTTATCATCTGGTAGGTGGCATCCTTCAAAGTAATCCCCACTTGATTGAATAACACGGTTCCATAGATGTTTCATCTTTTCAAAACAGTCCTGGAACTCACTTTTAGGGAGAGCCTTAAGTACACTCGTCGCATTATTTTCAACCGTTGTTTTGTCATTAAATTGGTGTCCTTTGAGTGGTTTTTTTAGTTTTGGAAACAGCCAAAAGTCACAAGAGGCTATGTCGGGACTGTATGGAGGTTGTCGAAGCAATGCGATATTATGTTTGCTCAAAAACTGCTGCACAAGATTGGATGAATGCGCTGGCGCATTATCGTGATGGAGAAGCCAGTCACCACTTTCCCAAAAGTGCGGCCGTTTTCTTCTTACTGCATCACGCAAACGTTTCAAAATTTGAACGTAGTATTTTTTATTGATTGTCTGACCTGTTAGTGCATATTCGTGATATACAACACCTTCACAATCGAAAAAAACAATCAACATTGACTTAACATTGCTCCGACTTTGACGTGCTTTTTTTGGTATTGGCGATTCAGAATGCTTCCACTGTGAAGATTGTTGTTTTGTTTCAGGATTATAACCAAAAACCCATGATTCATCACCTGTAATAACTTTTCTAAGCACATTATCATCATTATTGACCATTTCCAGATTGTCCAAAGCGATTTCTAAGCGAATGTTCTTCTGCTCTGCTGTGATCAATTTTGGGATGAATTTCGCACACACGCGTTTCATTCCTAAATTTTCGGTTAAAATTTCTGAAATGATAGCTTTGATATCCCAAGGTCTTCTTCTAGTTCTCGCACAGTCATACGACGATCTTGTTCGGTTGCAAGTCGCACCCGCTCAATATTATCTGCGGTTTTTGTTGTCGAAGGTTAGCCGAAACGAGAATCACTACCGACAGAAGTGCGACCATCCTTGAACCGTTTATACCACTCTTTTATTCGTGTTTTGCTCATACACTCGCTTCCGAAGGCCTTTTGCATCATTTCAATAGTTTCCGAACTCGTTTTTCCGAGTTGAAAGCAAAATTTGATGCAAATTCGTTGATCTCGTCTTTCAGTCATTTTTGACAATATCAAAATCCGACGAACGCGAAAAAGCCACTGTAAACAAAGACATGCTGCGCATGAACTATACGTCCGGCAGGTGTGAGTAAGTAGCCAATAAATTCGTGAGGCTTTACTGTTGACGTTTCTGTCCGGTAGAGGTCGCTCGAACACTATAGCGCGAAGATATAAACGTAGGCCCGATACTTTCCGGACAGACCTCGTAACCGCTTGAAATACAGGATTTTGTGAAAAAAGTTTAATAATTGTCGTTTATTATTACGCTGAGACGTGTTTTCGAGTACACACACGTCGTTAGTGTACTTTTAGCAAACGAGTGACACTACAACTCGTTGTGGTGAATTGCTGCATGTATGAGACCCCGCTCACTCAACGCTCGCAAGTTATTTGATAAATATAACTTATATATATGTATATTTATGGGACATAAATAGTAATTAAATAAAATCAAATAAATAAAATATATTTATATAGGGGTCCTTCTATTACTATCGCAAATATAGGCACAATTATTCATACATATAATAAAATAATGATATAGATCGAAACTCTTATTAGTCTCGACTGCACTGGTTAAAGACAAAGATATAAAAGGTAGTAATGGCTGGGTTTGACGAGCGATTTGAAATTAAGTTCTTTTAAATATAATCAAAATATTGCAGACATACTATTTATCCTATACACATGCATATCATATTATCCGGCAACGCGCTTAATTGTTAAACACTTCGTCAGCGTAAGCTATTATACGACGTTTTCGTAGAGGTCGTATGACGCTAATCCGACCGGTCGGCGCGAGCGGTATTTATAACAATAAAATAAAAAGAGTCGCGAGAATAAAATGCCAAAGCCAAAATAGTTAAGAATTTATCAATCACGCATATATATATATATGTGTTCACAAATATATATATATGTAGTTATACACAAAATGAATACGTGGAATTTGCAAAATGGTAATTACTCCAAGAATAATTATTATTATAGAAAAATAAGTAAGAAGAAGACAGTTTTACGAGGTGTGTTCAAAAAGTAACGAGAATTTTTAAATTTCGCGGGTTTGGAGAGTCCGCTTGTATAAAAGTTTTTTTTATTATGTTGGTACACATGCCCCTGAAGTACGATAAAATTTTCAGCAATATTCATTGCTTACTTTTTAAGTGTCAGCCGCTAACGTTAGACGTGTTTTTCGAGCTCGGCGATTTTCGTTTGTGAAAAAAAATGGATCAAAGAATTTGTATTAAATTTTGCGTAAAAAATGAAATAAAGTGTAGTAAAGTTTGTCAAATGTTAACAAAGGCATATAGTGAGTCTGCTATGAGTAAAGCAAGGATTTATGAGTGGTATAAGCGTTTCCAAGATGGCCACGAAAACGTTGAAGATGACGAACGACCCGGACGCCCAAGCACATC